TCACAGTTTTCGCAGTTGTCAACGTTTCGGCTACTCACAAAGTAAGTCTCATTATATACCATAACATCCGTTGCTCGTTTCCTGTCTCGAAGAAGGCTGCTGTTGTGCTACCGAAGCACTGACAACTTTGTAATTAAAGTTTCGTAACCAGCCTCTGTCTTGTGTCCAAAACTATTGAATCCGAGACTAGACGATTCATATTTACTATTTATTTAGCATTTTATTGGTCAGCACACTCTACGGAATTGATTGGAATTATGACAATGCCCAACACGCCCTTAACTGAATCCCTTACCTGATTTAAATGTCGCTGAATTTTGTGGAATAGAATGTTCTACGTTTTGAAATAATTCATTAACACTAATTTTTAATGTGTTACGTTTTGCCTAAGTTCTTGTTCAAGAAGTTCATGCGGGTCTACTGACGTTCAGGTCTTTTGTGCAACTGATGTTTTTTCTGAACTCCGGTATTTTTCTTTAGTCTGTTTACAGAGAGGTCTCAATGTTTGAACTGTTTTAAAAAACTTTCATAAATGTTCGAACTTCGTTGTTTATACCTCGCTTGCCGCTTCATGTCATTTTCAGTCTCGCGCGTTATTTATATGGGTTGCATTTTGTGTTGATTTTTAATCACTTATAAGGCGGGTAAAGACGAAGTACAACTGTAAGTATATTCGGTATCATATGCATCAGAATACACGATCGTGTGTGTCGCACGCTATAACATGATCATAGGGTAACATAACGTAACATAACACTATATTGTTCCTGTTATTCGCAGATCACTGACTTTCTACCAGTTTCTCAACTGACTGCCTGGAAGCATAGCAGGAAGAATTAATTGCTATGGGAATTATCAATTAAGAAAATTTTTACGCCGCGCTGGGCCTCAATCCCTACACTTCTAGCGTGTAATGCTATACTGTTACGTACGACTTCGTCGCTTCTTGATGTTTGTAATATATTTGTTAATGTCACAAATTCGGTGGCAACAAATTGTCCGTAGCATCACACTTAGCTTACACAAGATTAAGCTGATTTGTTCGAGATTGTCCTTCAGATAGCCGCCTCCGGTTCTTCTGGGTGGGTGGAACATGTCCAATATATCGAGATGCATGAAATAGGTTATGGGGATGCATAGGATTATAATCCCTTTATTTGGTACCTGTTAAAGCCCTGTTATGAACGCATAATGGTTGCTATCTTGGTTCTGATGACGAAATGTGAGAAAGTGACTTCTTTGTTAAGCTCCTGACCAGCCTGATCTCTGAGTCCTAGGACAACGCGTTGATTATCTCGATGGTATTTCAAAGCTTTGTAAAGCGTAACTCCAAGACCGGTTTTCATGATTTCTAGTTGCATAGGCGGTCATTTAAGCAGACCATGGTTCCGTGGTATTTGAGCACTTGCAGTATCAGGTGCATGTTGCAGCGTTTGGTTTCGTTAGAACCACCTCTGGCTCATTATATATAAACGAGGTTGCAGGAGCTGGTACTCCTGATACGGCTCCACATAGACATCAGATCATGTGCATACATTTGAGTACGTCAGATGGCCGATCGCTCCTTGTTTACAAGATTTCAGAGACCTGCATCTGCCTTATGACCCCGGGGCATTGACTGTTGTTTTGTTCGTGCGCTCTCTTACGCGTCGCTATTTACTCGCTGTTCTACGCGGGAATGACAACTGTAAAATATGAGCATTTTAGGCTAAGTTTGATGCATTTTCAGGGCACGTGCTGCCGCTGGAGTCGAGCTTAATGTCTCACATCATTCGTTCGATTCCTTTACCTGAACTGCGGTGATGCCAGTATGAGCACCATGGTAGTTCACGATACTGATTTAGAGACTCACGTTCCGTCGGATAATGAAGACACGGAGCTGGATCCGAGTTTATCCGAGGAGCAGAAAGAAGTTCTTAGGAAAATGAAAGCCATTAATAGGTTTATCGAGTAGCTTTTACTATATTTCATGCAAATGCGAATTCATTTATCAGGGCAAACGAGCTCGACAGTCGTTCGGTATCCGGAACAGGAAGCAAGCGCTCAGCTGACTCGTCTGACAGCTTCAGCAACTGCGAGGTGGTACCGAGCCAGCTGGGCGACGAAACCGAAGACCTGTGGGAAATTTGGGCGTATCTCGTGAAAAGTTGGGAGACCGAGTCTAAAAAGCAGGCAGCGATGTTGAAGGTAATTATTCACAACGAATATTTTATATGCTAGAAACCTCACTTCTCTGTCGACAAGTATTGCTACACCTCAAAACTAAGTGGTTTTTTTTCTGGGAAGATAAAAAATTTTAAAGCAAGATTGTGAAGTTACATGGTTTTGGCCACCTCCCGACATCAGTGCGTTATGTCTTTATTTTGACATTCAGCCTATCGGCTAGAAGTGTTGTCCGATGTTATGACATAAAAGTGACTGTTACGATTTCTTGTTGGTCGCCAGTCACAAATATGAGTATAGGAAAGAATCCCCAAGCCGTTTGTGTAAGCCGAAGCAGCTTCTTGTCATCAGTGTGCACGAAATGTAATTTCTGCCGTACTGCTTCATTTATCTCCTCCCGGTTACTACCATAATCAGTTTTTGCAGAACCCAGGGATTTCTGTTACAGTGCTCTCACAGCAGCTGCAAACATTTGCAACGGAGCACCACGATCGAACTCCTGGAGGCGATCTTGCGACAGATCAGACAACAGAAGGACAAAACAGCTTGCTCGAGCAAACCCATCTGTAATGAAGCAGTTCTATACCGCCATCATGGCGGCCATGGCTCGTTACGCAGTGGCCCCAAAACTGACTGTACGCCCGCTTCTGGTGATATCAGTCTTCGGAATGAGTTTGTAACAATCTAATCTTCGCAGCTCTTTTTGGAAAACTAAACTGTGATTCGTGAGGAGTTTTAATTTCAGTAATCTGATCTGAAGTCTTTAGTGAACTGTAGGATTAATATTTCGAAACTGTTTAGTTTCGCAAATGGTGTATGACGTTTATGCTATTTATATTTGATAGTTATCCCTCGATGCAATTTAGCCCATGAACGAGGTACGAGTTCAGATGTAATACTGCAGAACCCAATGACAACACTATGACAAGGTTAATGCGTACCGTCGTTAAGTAAAACAACATGCACTGTCAAAATCCTAGAAGACTTGATTCGTCGAAAGTAGGGTAAAGAATTGCGGATTTTCAGTTCTTCGTTGCTCTTCTGGTCTACTGGGTCATTTGCAGAGCTGAAAATTTTGGAACTGTCCGATCCATGATAGTCTGGCCTAACTAATAATGGTCGTCCGATCTTCCGCCCGAGTTAACAAGATGCGCTTTCGTACTGTAAGTAGGAGGTTCGTTCGGTGAGTATCCTGCAGTCAGCATTCATATTTCCTGCGTAGAGGCCCACCAGATGCAGCCTTATCAGTATACTTCCTATCCCTTTATGGCAGTGACTACAGACTGCGCGAAGTTCAGAAATATTGCCTAGGAGGTTCGAAGTGGGATAACGTCAGCGTAGTATGGGTCATCGTAACTAAAACATCTGCTCTATGATTGGAATGAAATAGAATCTGATTCAAGGCAATGATGGCTCCCAGTTTGACATATTGAAATCCTTTTACCTTTCATCACACTTCCCATTCTTCAGCCTCAACAGCGGTTGGTATGTTTTCAGATCTATGTCCGAACAAATCTTGTATATACGCCCGTTGCTGACGATTGGTATGATGACACGAATAATGCATTGTCTAATTGAGTAGTTCTTTTGGATAGGACGGTCTGCTTGCCGAAGCTGAGATTAAGAGCCACGCTGGCCATAGTGAGTTTTATGCACCCAATCTAAACTACATTATTAATTTTGCTTTGAAACAGTGAATGTCGTCTTAGAAAATATAACTGTCGCGGTAACAAATTTCCTTATGAGCGACGTCGGCGAATCCTACAACCGGAGATGAAAAGATCTGACAAGGAATAACGGCTGCTCTCATATTAACCCGAATGCTGTCCAGTTAATAGATTGCTGCTGTGTAATCGGCTTGTTACTACCTATTGTTCGAGCATCATAATGTCCGTAAGCCGAAATTCATTACGGTCATAGCCTGAGATTGCTGAATTTGAAGCGTTCAATCCGTACTTTAACTCACTGAGAGATGCTGTGAATACGTGACAGTTTTGTTTACCCCACATTACAGTTAGATTTCCCTCCTGGTGCTCCACCTGTGACGGTCGGCAAAACCACGATCGGTTGGTCGCTTGCTGAAAAAGGTGTTTTGCCATATTCTCGTTGTGACTGGACGTTCGATAAGTGTATTAACGTTTTAGCAGTTGGTTCGCCAAGGAATTCCATGTCATTTTCGCACATTAGCATGGCAACTACTTTCGAACGCCAAAATCGAGGCGGCCCACGAAATGTATACCGAATACATGCGTGGTAACTCACCGCACGAAAAAGCGATTCGCCGCGACATATCCAGAACTTTTCCAGAGCACGAGTTTTTCCGCGACATTACTGGCGCCGGGCAGCAGAGCTTATTTAACGTGATGAAGGTGAGTGACGTTCGTACGGCCTATAGGTTGGTCGGCTCAGCCGACGATTGATTAGATTCCACGTTGGCCATTCATTGTTCATTAACCTGTTTAAGGCATACAGTTTGCACGATAGAGAAGTCGGATACTGTCAGGGAAGCGCTTTTGTCGTTGGTCTGTTACTTTTGCAGGTGAACATCAAAATTGAAATTTTACTAAGTTCTTACTTGCGACATTGTAGATGCCTGAGGAAGAGGCGTTTGCTGTTCTGATTCAGCTGATGGAAGAATACCGTTTCCGTGAATTGTATAAGCCCGCAATGACTGAACTCGGACTCTGCATATTCCAGCTAGAATGCCTTGTTCAGGTAGTTGACCAATCGTTTGTATTTTCAGCTATTCGTTTAACAGGGGTTGTAAAAATTCTTGGCTCTATTTCTAATTATTAAAGGTCCCGTTAGTGCTGAAAAAGAGGGCTTTTAAAACAGCTGTTTGGCACCGGCGATGACCGATCTACTGGACCCTTGAAACACGATCAGTTCGGAGGAGGAGTTTCATCCTTACATGTAATAGAAGGTTGCATGGTGACCTATGCTGCTTTTCTCTCTCTCGACAGAATGACATTGGAATTGTTTACATGATTTAGCTTATGGTGCAGTTGGTGTCACCAAATAATTCAGTTTTGTAAAAGATCAGTAAATTCAATTCGTTCAGTTCAATTTAATTCGTAATTTCAATTTGTTCAGTAAAAGGAACGAAATTTTCTTATTGTTTGCTAATGCAATAACTGCCACGCGAAACAGATACTAAGAGGAACTCTCTCAGCATATAGTGAAATCTCGTTTAGCCGACGACCAGAAAAACACTTTCCATTTAGAGGTGTGGTCTTTAGAGAGAATGCACAAAACAGTGAATTTAATTTAATTTATGGCGTGGACTGTTTCACTTAAAGAAAAAATGAGTCAGTTCATCTGCAGACTAATTTTTGCATGTATTTCTTTCAGTTTACATAAAAATGCACAGATCCCACGAACCATCCTGAAACGGGAAATATCCATTTACGATGAAAGAAAATTCGATTATGCTGTCTAAATGCGACAACAACCAAAGACGCGTTGTACTCGCTTACTCCAGTTCTGCTACATTAAGTTAGTTTCCCTCTGTAACTTTCCTGTCACAGCGTCGTATGTAGTAATGACATTGTACCTGACAGCATGGTGAGATGATATTTTGAGGGCATATTCTTCGGACCTCAGTCCAAATTCAGTTTTGCTGATGTTCGTCTTCGCTGTGCAATTTCAAGATGATGGGATAATATTTTTTAATTTTAGGAGTTCATGCCAGATCTTCACACACATTTTCAAAATATGGGTTTTGATACAAGCATGTACGCTTCTTCCTGGTTTCTGACTCTTTTTATCACTCAGGTATCGATCGATTTGGCTTCTCGAATAATGGATGTGTTTATTTCAGAGGTAAGCACTTTTGTACTTCCCAGTTTGAACTTTAAATGCATTTTTTTCGTTACCAGCCTTTGCGCTTTGTATATTCACTAAGTCTTGACTCAGTTATAAATTTTTGTTTATATTTTTGTCTCATTTCCAAATTCTGCTGATCTACTAAACAAGTTAGCCTTCCAGTGAAATGGATTGTGGCATGTCTGCAGGTACTTACATCACGGTACCGCAGAAGAAATATTAACCATATGTTTTTGGCCTCTCTGCCGGACTGCTCATTTCTTTAACGCATCTGCATACTTGTTTTATATGTACCCTGGCTAAGTTCAGTTAAGCATTTCATTCTGTGATCTTCCATTGAGCCAAAGGTACCGCGTTTCAGATTTGTGTACTGATAATGTTCTTTGCTGATTTTTTGCAGTGCAAGGCCAGGATTAAATTTTGCGTATTCTCATCTTTCTCATTCGAAACAACCGACTCTGATGGATTACACTGGCGACTGAAGCATTTGAAAGAGTACATTATCCGTAGGCAGCATTCTTAACACATACATAAAGCGATCCTTTTTACGAACGTTGCATATGCTTAAACGAACTTATTCTGTTTACAGTTGAAACAAGTAGGCGGATACATTAAAGAATAGAGTAATTTTACGGAATAAGCCGAACAAATTCTTGTCGGCTATCCTTAATATATTTCTCTACACGTTTTACGTATACACCGATAAAATTCATTTTAGCATTTTGTTCTGCAAGCTTCTCCATCTAGATTATGTAGCCTATATGCATGTTTGAAATGAATTGACTCGGATCGTCATCAGATTCAGTCGATTTGCTTAGCTGAGGCAAATGGGTTATGGTAAAGGTCAGTCAGGTCACTTTGCACTGCTTTGCTAGATGTATCCACATTCAACTTGACTAACTCGAATCTTGCGGTGACATATCTTGCTTACGTATCTTGCTTAAGTATCTGTTATACGTATGCTTACGTGTTTTAGGTATCTGTTACGTGCGATATTGACACTGAGATGTCATTTATGCTAATGTGCCATGCATTTGCCACTTTGCCACAATTATTTTCATAATTCATACTTACGATCACATAAAGAAGATATTTCGTTTTGATTCGCGTTGAAACTGATGCACGACACAATTTCATTATTCTACATACTATTTAACGGAGAATAGACTGGTATATAATTTTATAATAGGCGGTTTGCTTCCTTGAATGAATTAAAAGGTAGCAGCCATTCTAGTGTAATGTCACAGCAGTCTCTTTGCATCACAGAAGCAGATTTTGTCAGCAGTGTTGGGGTGAGTAGCCGTTCGACCCTAACTGCAACAATCATATTGCATCTCTTGTATTTTCTTGCTGATCTAGTCAGTGTTAGTGGCTTCGAAATTTTTGCAATCTTCAGTCCTGACTCCTTGCGAAGTGCGGAAAGTTTGAGAAATCTGTTTGAATAAAATTGGTTAACGGGAAATAACCACCATTTAATTTAATTAATGTGCCTGCTACGTGCGAGAATATCTAATGCTGTGAAAGGTTTTAGGTTCAAAACAGCCTCGGCCAATTGCTTCATTTAGTGTTGCTAAGATCGGCTTAAGTTGTAAGGAGCCGGCATGTTCATACTCGTCTCAATCGGTCACCTCTGAAAATGTTTTGTTTTAACTATCAGCTTTATCTTTGATTCGGAAATAACAAAACAGTGTGAAATGAATTTTTGAGCTTCTTTTCACCAATTGTCGTTACTTTCCAGCCAACCATCAATCTTACGTCACTGTGGTTTGCGGCATTTCTTCAGAATCATATTCTACATGCTGCTGTTGCGTTGTTATCGTGTTCTAACCATAAATGTCGCTATTTCTAGGGTATGGACATCATATTTCGAGTTGCGATTGCAATTCTTCAGCTATGTCGTGTTGATCTGCTGAAATTGGACATGGAGGGGATGTTGAGGGTAAGAACGTTAGATAGGTATATTTTTGAACATTGGTATAAGTGTTTGTTTTCAACGTTTTGACGGTTGCATTTGGTAGTGGCGCAGTCATGTTGCAGTGTAGCTTGTTAAGTTCAGCTCCCTTGCTGTTCTCTGTGATAGCGCTTAATGATAATCGTATTCCAGCTATTTCTGACAATAACTATCATTTTCCACCTCGATCGCGCGTTTGAAAATTTAGTTTCTTTGTTTCAGACTGTCAGTAAGCTTTCGAGCTCTGTGTTTACGTGACGCCATTTCATTTAAAGACGATGGGCATTCATTTCGTATTATAATTGTGGTTGCATCTTGTATTGACTTAACTTTTAAATGGATAAAGATGCATCCGTGAAACTTACGTTTCGAAAAGAATGATCATAAGTACTGCAGCCTTAGCACGACCACGCCAAAACGCGATGACGTTCCTGTTATTCGCAGTTTTCGGCTGGTTACACTGAAAGTCTGAGATAAATTCATTATGCATGGAAATTTGCAGTTAATAGCAAACTTGTACATATATACATCACAGTTAGATTCGAACCCTCACATCTAACGGGCAGTGCCAAACGATTTTCTTATGCGCCGCTTTTCCCCCACCACATCGTTCAACCCATTTAGCTGATACTCACTTGGCATTCGTGAGTCGCTTACCCTCAGGCTGATCTATGTAGTTTGGTTGAAACTTCGGCAATTATAATCAAGACTACCATCTCCCTGTTTACTTGTGTCTGTAGCCACTGAATTAGCAATTTATTTAAGTAAAAATTCACTGCAGTGTTGTACCACAGCGATGTTTCTCGCGGTAAAACGGAAGCGCAGGCAATTAAAATCATTCTAATTATAGTATAGATCTAATGAACAGGTTCATTACAGCTGAACAGTTCCCGTATGCTCCATAAACATTCATTCGAATGCTACATTCATTATAGTGTTGTGTTAATCGTTAGGATGTGCAGTTATTTCTTGATAAAGAATTTCAGTTTATGTCTTTGAGAGTGTCACTGATGCACTGCTATCAGCCAATTCATGATTATTTTCTAAGACATGGATAACGAAGCGGAAGTCATCAGGTCGCTTATTACTATGGTTTTGCTCAATTCGTAAATCTGAATTTCATGGTTTTAAATGTTGTTTTCCGATTATAAATGAAGTAAATGGTGTCATTTTCGTTACGGAATTTAAACATTTTATAACACGTCCAAATACAGGTAATTCTAATGATGCAGTTGTTTTAATTAAGCAAACAAGATAAAGAACATTTAGACTGCTTAATTTTATCAATAGGATTACCGTATTTTTCATCAGTGGAAGGCCTAAAGAAATGCGCTAGTTTTTGAAGTAACAGGGCATGATTTCCTTCACATAAGCTGGTTCGAGTTCTGGCTAATACTTTTATGTTATATGAACGTCGTAGACCTCGTCGACCAGTGGCCATCTAGTTCAGATTGATGTTCACAACGATGCATTCTAAATAATCAGTAAGAATTCCAACTTCGTTGCTCATGCTTCAAAGCATATTCATTAATTGGTCAATAGCAGTATATGAATAGTCCGTCACGGGAATAAGACCATACCCGTGAACTTGGAATCAGTGTACATCCTAGCAAATAGCAAAATCCTAGCAAAATCAGTGTACATCCTAGCACAATACTGTGAAAATTGCAATAAATCACTTGATGTTCCGAAAGCATGGTAATATTAGTTCTTGCACTGAATAGTAATTATCTAGAATCAGCGCATTCCTTTTTCTAAAATTTGCATACTGGAGTTGATCTTTCGGTCTATTGCCTGATCTATAAAAGAAGCAGTATTAATTGTACGCTGATAATTCGCAGAAAAGCTGTGGTATCTATAGCGTGCTTTTTAGTTAGCGTAAGAAGTAAAGGTTGTTGTCTGTCTTGTCCTATTCTTCGTTTGTTTATTATCAACTTTATTTTACATTTTCTTTTTCCTATTTCATTACACGTTGAAATGATACAAAACTGATTTGCGTAAAGTGTAGTTTAAAGTTACTTTTAGTATTTTCAAAAAGAAGTTCCAGAAAAGTTTGTCGAAGATCACGAGCTGCTCATGACTACGGCTTATAACGTCAAGTACAACCCGAAAAAATTCAAAAAGTATTTGTTTTGCACTGTTTTATGTCTTGTCGTGTATCGTTCTCTGATAGATTGGAAAAGGATTATTTAAACAAACGAAACAAGGATCAAGAAGAAGCCGTGGAACTTCGGGTATAGTTTGAAAGTTCAAGACAAGTCTTGCCTAATCAAGATCAGCAAAGAATCTTGCTTTGCAGCATAAATAAATGAATTCAAGTGCAAATTACATGACAAACAGGTTATAGCAGAATGAGCGAACAAGCATATAAAACTGTTGTGCTCGATATTGACATTGATTCTAGACAATGCATCAGAATGTAGACAGTTAAATTAGAGTAAAGCTTCAGTGCAGAAGCTAAAAACTGATACAGTACTACATAAACACAGTAACTGGCGAATATTAGAATGTATTAAGAGCATGCGGGTTTAGTCCTTACCTTACACGGATGTTGAAAAGGTAATTTCGATCGCGAGAGCGATCTCTACTCCAGTCAGCGTTACTCATTCTCTCCCTACTAATCAACTTGACACTCATTGCGAGTCAGGACTAAACTTCCCTATTTAGTAGGTAAATGTTTTGGGCAGCTGTAATTCATCAGTGAATTAAAAGAAACTAATCTGTTTTTTACTCGTTACTCTGTCTGGTTACGTTCCTTCACAGCTTTCATATACCAAGGCAACACTTACTTGAAGGTAAGCTGGTAGTTGCATAGAATACTGTTATTAGCAGTTTCGATGGCCGCTTAAACATTCAGGTCGAGGAGGCATACGCGTCAAACTGCATCAGACGTTCCGGATCCTATGTCAGCGTTTGAGATTCGGCAAAAGATAACCACAGTCTGCAGCATAGTCTTTCGCTACACTTGCTCCAGGATATTCTTCACCGTCCACGGGGATTTTTGCCATCGTTTGAGAAAGTAGTAGCTGCTTTGCCTTCCCTTTTGAATGCAGTCGCAAGATGTGCCCAAACCATCGAAGCTATCACTTCTCAGGCTGGAGAAACAGCGGCTGTTAAACAAGACTGTCTCCGATATCTGAACTCCGGTCCAAGTCGAGACGCGTAAACCTAGTGATTCGCTTCGGAAAGCCCGTTTTTGCCGCTTATATTTATGATCGAAATTTTTCAATCGTTGCCTACGATTCACGATCGTCGGTGAGCATCAGGATAAAGATCGACATAGACAGAGAGCGTAGTCGTCAGATTCAGCTCTGCCTTAGTCACATTGTCTCCGGATAGTTATCGCCGAACTGTGCTGGCCACTCCAATTCGTCAGTCGATTTCTTCCTCATATTTTCCACTGCCATTAAACACGACCCAGAGGAGCGTCAACTTCTGCAACTGCTCCACTGCTCCTTTGTTTATATGAAAAGAGCAACTGACAGGAAAATGAGGAAGCACTGGGCTTTAAATTTTAGATTCCTTCATACGCATGCCGGCTAGTCGTACTCGGCTGCGAGCGTTTCCAGATAGCTTTGAAGGTCAGTATCAGATGCCAGTAAAACAAGGTCGTGTGCAGACAGCAACCTTCTCGTCTCGACATCTCCTGCGCTGATACTCTCATCGCCCTGGCTGCGTTAGACTGTTCTGTCAGGGTACAATACAAATAGGAGAGGGGACACATTGCAGCCTTGGCGGAGACCAGTGCTAGCGCGCTATAAGGTCTGAATTTAACGTCATTTACTTTGACGCAGCACCTGTTCTCTGCAAGGTGGAGATGGACCATAACACCCTAACCATCGATCCCACATATTTGCAGGCACGCCCGGATACTGTTGTGAGGGATCTGGTCATAGGTGTTCACTATATTCACAGAGTACATATAATCGGGATGAGCGAACTCATGTGATTTTTCAACAATTTGGTATAAGACGAAGACATTATCAAAGTAGTCTCGGCTTTATCTGAAGCCACACTGCTCTTCTAGTGTCTTATTCAGTTATTACTTGGGACCATTCTTCTAGCACGTTTGCGTAGACTTTACCATATCGACTCAATAAGGTGATGCCCCCATGATTGGACCATTGCTTATGGTCTCCCTTTCTTGAATTGGTGTGCTAGCACTAATCCGCAGGCGCTTTCCCTCTAGCCGTTGCACTTCGACAGACACTTGTTAGTTACATCAGGCTTGCCATTTTTAAATAGTTTGCAGCTTCCGTGAGTTCATCTGCTGATAGACTAAAATCCACTTACCGCTCTCCTTCAAGCGAGCGTTCCTGTGGTTGCTCAATTTTAAGTAGTTTCTTGGAGTGTACTCATTTTATCGCCTATGTATGGTCATCGTTGGTATGACGGCGTTCGGACTTGTCCTTAAGGACCCTTAATCTACCCTTCTTTCCAACTCAAAGTCTGCGGGTGGCCTGCCAAAATACTTGAAAATTTCTGTTCTTTGGAAATTTGACTCCGACAC